TGTGTGTGTGTGTGTGCGCGCGCCCTTCCGAGCGTGCGCGTCCATGTTTTCCATGATTGCTGCATTTGACAACAGAGCCACGGGGAGCTCAGCAAAGCATACTGCAGTCCAGGTTTAATTTCCTCCTTCAGATGGAGCGATAGTTAGAACAAATGTACTGTATCAGGGAACCACGGTTTCCCCGGCCACCTCCCCTCGCTTTCCCCTATCACCCGGATTCACCAGCATTGTTTATCCAGGTGTTGTTTAGAACCTGTTCGATTTTGCTGTTTGCAGTGTTAATTGTTGCGCTTTCCCATTTTTCAGGAAATTGACGAAGCCTGCAAGCGAATCAAGAGGGAGGTCGATGACCTGGGGCCTGAAGTTGGTGACATCAAAATCATCCCGCTGTACTCCACGTTGCCTCCACAGCAACAGCAGAGGATCTTTGAGCCACCCCCACCCAATAAACCGAACGGTGCCATCGGAAGGAAGGTATAACTGCCTTGTTGTTATAAAAACACTCAGAGGTTGAAGTGGGGGAGTTTGAGGGAGAGGGTAAGTGAAAGAGAAAATGAGTGGGGATGATGTAGAAAGGCCAGATGGGGAATAAGGTGGGCAAAGGAAGAGATGCTGGGAGGTAGGGACTGAAACTTTTTCCCCTTTCTCAGCTCTAGCGCAGAACTGACTCACACAACATATGCTGCTTTTGTCAGCATGCGTTTCTCTGCTCTAAATTATAACTGGAGTATTACTCACGCCCTCTGAGCCCGAGGAAAGTACTGCATTCTCAGTCATTTTTATCTTTCCACTACATTTGCGCAGGCCCCGCTGCTTCTCCGAGAGGAAGCCTAAGACCTCTGCTGTCTGACACCGTGCGAAGGGTGCACGTGTATACGAGCTGATCAAAAACAAGACAAGTCGTCTTCTTCCTCAATCACTTAATCTCAGAGGAGTGGATGATCCTCTTATTGATACAGACACTAAGACAATTCCTCTCCTTTGTATGACAGTTTCTATTCAGATGGGCTCATCACCAGACTAGCAGCACCACCTGCGCTGCCACAATGTTGGCCAGGGATCTGACAGAATATCAGAATATCATCGCTGCCAGTGAATGAGCAAACATTCACCCTCAGCATCTGATAGGGGATGATGTTGATGAATGACTCATTGCTACAGCCCCTCTAATTGAGGCAGATCAGGCTGACATATGAGCAGCAAAAATATTTATGGGCTGTCAGAGTTAGCTATGATACATTAAAAACGCTTCAATTCAACCTGGATTTAGGGAATATAGGATTCCTTGCAATGTCAATTAATCAGAATTTGAAAAAAAGTATAAGGCACACCATAAAATTGGGATCAAGTATGTTATAAAGTTTACATTTACAACTCGGCAAAGCCTGAGGGTTACCCACAAGGTTTGGATCAAATATTATACCACCATCTTTACTGTTTTGAGTTTTATAGTTTCATCTCTTCCAGCTTTCTGTGAGTGTGTGTGTGTGAGTGTGTTGCACAGGCTTAAGAGGCTCAGCATTCTTAGTAGTTTGATCGGACAGTGTTGGATAAGATCTTTTTCAAAAGTTCAGATATCATTCCCAGTGTTTGCCTCTGCTGTTCAAAGGGATGCTGACATGAAACGGGGCCATGGTTGCATAGGGACAGGTTTAAATATTACATGGCTCCCGCAATACCTGCATTGCACTGTAGGTTTACATGCATCGGTCTGATGTAGAACTAGGAGGAAAATACTATTTTCCACTGGCAGCGGGCTTGCTGAAGACATTTGGCTCATCCTCTTGGTCAACTTCTCCCTGTATAGTTAATACAGTAAATAAAAATAATGTACCGGCACCGCCCCCTAAACTCTCAACCCAGCAACCACTTTGAGCTTCAGAACAGTGCAGTTGACACGCCATTTTCCCCTCAAGATCAATTCGTCAGGTGCTTGTTGAATCGGTGGAGGTAGCATCTAAAGTTGCCGCGACTGAAGTAGATGTGCTTCTCCTCCGTGACTGACTCGAGCGACTCATCAAGTGAAAAATGCAGAGATGTCATCCAAGCCAGCTCAAGAGGAAGTAGTGAAAAAGAATTAAGGCTCGCCATGTCTGCCGCTACGCATGCTAATGACTGCATTAGGCACCCCTCAATTAACATAAAGCTCCAGCTCGTCATTGCTCTATTTCTCCAGGAAAGCCACTGATCTTCTATTTTTGAACAGTTTAATCATTTAGAGCCCAGGCAGTAATTGACTAATTACAAACAAAGATTATAATCTCACTTTGCTTTCCAGCGTCTCAAAGATTGTCTCTAACAAATTTGCTGCGATGAGTGTTTTTTTTTTTAGCATTGTCACGTTTGGAATATTCCCTCAAATGTCACTCGTGATTGCGCTGCATATCCATTTCAATGAGCTTTGAATGTGGGTGCGTCGATGCTGCTCGAGGCACGTTCTCCTTTTCCCCCAGTCAGGGGGAGGCTTTATTTGTCAACAAGGCTGCGATTCCCCCAGCAGGGAATGTGAAAGATGGCCCGTGTAAGCCATAGTACTTGCTCTACTGCAGGTAATAACCCAGAAATAACATGCAGAGATGATGCTCTAATGATATTACTGATGAAGAAGCCAGGATTATCCAGTGCAGCAACAGACTGGAAGGAGCCAGCCTATGTTCAGTGTAATGGCCCTAGCCTGGATAATCCTTCAGAATCAATGCAGTCAATGAGGCCACCCATATGATCATGAAATGTGAGAGGGTGTCATGTGTGGCATCTGCTGGAGCACTGACTGTGTCCCAACACGTAGGACAACCTCACCTGGTCCCATTTTTTTTAACCCCGACTTTAAAGTGTTCCATGCCTTTCATGCCTCGCAGGGATGTTGGTCGCTGGTATGTAGTGTCTGTCATATGAGACTGTCTGAATGCGTGGTCTTTTTTGGCAGGCCACTTTAATTTCAGACTGGCATATTGTGGCAAATTGTTTTTTTTATAGATGGGATTTCTCTGTATCTTTTCCACTGCAGGAACTTGTCAACCCATTACCCAGGGGTTCCCTTAAACTGACATTTTAAAATCCTTGTGTGCATTTTGGTGCTAGATTTTTCCATGAGTTTGCTATTATTTTTTTTTTCTTTTTGGTGAAAACCGTTTCCAGCATGTCAAACCACTTCATAGTTTTCACTTTGTTTGTTATAATTTATTTTCCATAGGTTTTATCTCTACTTCTGCCAGACACTGAGAAAACCTTGGGTACCCCTTTTGCTTTTTAACCACTTGTCTATCTCATTTCAACTGATCTCATCAAGCGTACTCCATTCTCTATTTTGAAGTATTGGTTGGGCCTGTTTGTTAGAGTTGCAGTAGTAAAGCAATGGTTTGTTCTAGTCCGGTGACGACCAGTCACGATTGACAGCACTGTCAAGCTTAGAGTTCTGAGAAATTTAGTTTCAGGAACTCACCCCCTAAGCATGTGGAGATCCATCTAAACAGCAGAACCTTTGATAACAGGTATGCTTACAATACGTTTCGTGAAGTTCCTACTATGGGAATGGGTTTGGAGTATACCTTTTTGAGCCAAGCAGTTGGTCTTTGTGTAACCCTACTAAGCTGTCTGTTATTTAAACAGCCCATATTATTTTCAGTTGTCTATCAAAATTAAGCAACTCGTCAATCAGATCTAGACAGCCATTCAACCAAGAAATACATGAATAACCAACCATTAGCCAGATACTGCTGTCTGATCAGTTTTCATGCGGGCGTTTATCGCCATCTTCATTCCCCTGCCTTAATATTAAGGGGAATGTGTCTTACGACAGGTGAATTACCCGAGGTTGAGGGCTGAATGAGGGGGGGGGGAAAGGCCCTCCCTGGCATTAATAACTAAACAGTCAGGCATTCTCAGGCTGGAGAGAAATCCTCGCTTAAAAGGTGGGATTTAAAAGTCTGTAAGGCTCACAGCTTGAAGACAGCTGAAGAGGCACAGCTACAAAGGAAGTGTGTCAAGTGTGCAAAATTGGTTCTGTGGACCTGTATCAGCAAAGACTACAGAGAACTGTTTGGTTTTTGTGCTTGGCATTTTATCACAAGGACTACCAGGAAAGCAGACGGCTACCACCAAATGACTGCTTAGGTCAGCCTACACCTTGTTCCTGTCTTGGTACATGTTGAGCAAGTGAGCAAGGAAAAAGATTCTGAAGTGTGGAGAGGCATTTTTCCAAAACACCCACTTGTATATTAGGCTGTGACACTGGAGTGGCAGTTGCCAGTAGAGTGGGCTATGACCCGGCCACCACAGTCTCAAGTGCTATGATGAATCGAAAGGGATTCTCTGTCCAGTCTGTTTCAGCTGTTATATCAGGAGAACTCATCCTAGGGGCGGTCAAGGTTTGCGTGAGAGCAGCTGCAAATCTTTCTCCCTCTCCTCCGCTCTTCCCTCCTCCCCCTGTTTGCGTATATGCTGACAGCTAGAGACCCATAGGGTGATGTGACTCATTTGATTTTTTTTTCTCTGAATCAGCTGTCGTTTCTCATAGACAGACTTGCTATAGGGGATAATTGTAATAGAAAAAGATCTGGGACTGACTGAGAGATGGTGCAGGTTCACAGTTTCACAACTTGCCTTATTTTCTAAACCAAGTAGCTTTTCATTGTTTTTCCTCTATGTTTATGAAGACAGTTAACAATGACACACTGCTTAACTTTCTTTTATGGCCAGAACAGCAAACATACAATGGGAAAGTGTACCAGTCATTCTCTTTTGAGACTTCTGGGGTGACTTCATTAGGTGATTATTAGGACTTACCGCCACAGTTGTTGCCCTGTATCCCAGTGAATGGGGAAAAAAGTAAACGCAGCAATCACATGAAGTCGTTTTTGTAATATTCTCTTATTTAGTAATGAGACAAGGCGAAATGAAAGTTACATGGATCTAACTCCAGCTCAATAACTAGATGCATAGCCCCAAAGATACTCTATATGAAGTGTATATGGAAAGAATGTAAAGACTGTTTCTGCTGGGAATATAATTAGAGCACAATATGGCCTCATCATCCACAAGGCATCTTATGTGATGTGATGTGGTGGTGGCGGCGGCGGCGGCGGCAGTGGAATCAGCAGGGGAAATCCAATGCCGAACTATGAATGAAAACCTACACCGCAGGTATCTACAACAGGACTCCCATTAAATCCTTGCATCAAGTATAAATGTAGCTTTAGATTTGGTGGGTCTTTTTGCTACCTAATGACACCTACACCCCTTGGTGTATGGATCGTATGCTCACTAGGTTTTTCCACAAATTTAATTTTAGCCTTTTATTTTATGAATCAGAAATACTTTAATTATTTTATGCATTATATGTTACATAAACCACCCATGTCTTATCACACTAGTTGATTTTTTTCGAGTTAATTGTTGGGAATAAACTATTTAGTGTCAAATTGCAAATAAATTCTCCACAAATAATTGCTGATCCTAACCCTTTCCAGTAGTCAGGTTAATGATTTTTTAAATATTTCAAACTGAACATAATGCAAACATTTGCAGTGCTGTTTGCCTCTGGTTGTGTTTGAAGCACAGCTTTGGAGAAGCCAGTATTGCGTAGCACACAGCAAGAGCCAATCAGCGACAATGAGCTGTGCACAGTTGGCATGTCCGCAGACAGCGTCGTTCCAAATTTCCCGAGACGTGCTGGATTCACATGAGATAGCAACAGCAGCCCTTATTTGGGGGGGAGGAAAAGCTGCTACGATGAATGCAGTAACGGTTGTGGCGCACTCAATGTGTAAACTAAACCAGCGGCATGCTGAGGACAGTCGGACAGAACCCAGAGCCTCATGCACAGACATACACATAACACAAAAAGGCCAGAGGTAATGCCTTTGGATGGGACACTGAGCACCAAGCCAACTCCCACAAATATGTTGCTAGCACATTGAACTTGATTGCAGAAGCTGTAGCAGTACTCCCCTGTTGGTTTGCATTAGACAGCGTGTGTGCAGTGCACTAAAGTGACATCTCTACAAGCTTTTTCAGTCAACTGGCTCACATCAGGGAATAGTTTTCAAGTTAAAGCCAAGCTGTTATCTGCACTTGTTTGTTTCCCCTCCGTGCTTAAGAATTACTATGATTGACACTGATGACACTGTAGGCACTGCACTTTTTGATTGTACAAAGCACTTTTAAATACTTGAATGACAAATATAGTTCTTGCACTGTTTTCTTATATTTCAACAAAAGAAACTACCATGTCCCAAGTTGCTGAGTTCTCTGTATTTGAATGCTGACATCTTTGAATGGATTTGCTAAATAACTGATGAAAATATAAAAAAATGATGATGCAGTGTCTTGCACCGGAGTCTGAGGTCTTGTCATCTCATCTGTCCTCATTTTCACAGGTTGTCGTGTCAACAAACATTGCAGAGACGTCCCTGACCATCGACGGCGTGGTGTTTGTAATTGATCCCGGATTTGCCAAGCAAAAGGTTAGCGCCCACCTTCTCCCCACCACTGTCATGTTTTCCACCACTCTTTATCTGCTGCGATCATCTGCGTCTGTTGCCTGAGAATCCCCAGATAAACACAGCAGTGCACATCTGACAGTGGCAAAGATGGAAAAGCCAGTTATTTATTCCTCTGACATTTCACCAGCCTGGAGCCAAGTCATGCACATGGCGCAAAAAGAGATTATAGATACACTATGGTGGATTGGGTGTATGTGTTATTGTATATTTTGTTAGCTGATAGTGGATTGTGGATGTTAGTATGTGCCTAACTATTGTGTATTTACCTGAAATTCATCCTTCCCTTTTCATATCAGGTGTATAACCCACGCATCAGAGTGGAATCACTTCTGGTTACAGCCATCAGCAAGGCCTCAGCCCAGCAGAGGGCAGGTCGTGCTGGACGGACACGCCCAGGAAAGTGTTTCCGCCTTTACACAGAGAAGGCTTATAAGACAGAAATGCAGGTAAGAAACAAGGCAGTCTGAGAATGGTTAGAAATTCAATGTTTGATTCACACATTCTTCAATGCCACAAGCACTTTGTATTCCCCCGAAGCAGCCCTCTAGCTGGAAAAGCTCTCTATTATGCAATATTTGCTCTTCGAACTGCATGATTCCCAGTTCAACTGAATTATAATTCCAAGTGCTTGGTGCTAAACCACACTGCTTCCGCCCTTTCTCGTAACCTGTGCTAACGAAACAGCCACCTTGTGACAAATGAACCTGCAGAGGCCCAGTTCTCCACTTTAACAGCCCTATTCTTTCACGTCACGCTGAGTGGGAAAGGGAATTTTTTAAACAAGTTAAATAGCCCTTCAAATGCCCTAGACTCCCGGTCTCTGTTCAAGTTGACATATGAGCGACGCATGAGGAGATAATAGGCACCCTGACTAATTCATTTTGAATTGTTCCTCTCGTTTCTCTTCTACCTCTTCACTGGCACAGGACAACACATATCCAGAGATCCTGAGGTCTAATCTGGGCTCGGTGGTGCTGCAGCTAAAGAAACTGGGTATTGACGACCTGGTGCATTTTGACTTCATGGACCCACCAGGTTAATATGGAAAAAAAATACTAACCTAAACTTTTTTTTTTTTTTTT